ACTATTACTGATATTATTTAATTTTTAATTATCAACTTTTTTCTAAATTCTTATCGAAAAAGTGTTTTTCCAAAAAAAAAAACATTTTAAGTTATTACACGATATTTTTTGAAAGATAATAATCGCTAGAATTTTTTTTATGAAAAATCAAAATTCGAAATTGCTTTTTGGAACGTGTATTCATACAAATAAGATATAATGAATCATTATAATTATTCAAAGTTTTTTTTTGATATAAAAGCCATTATTTCTTTCTTATTTTAACTACTATTACTGCATTTATTACAGCTTTGAATACTAACTTTGTATCTGCAAGCATTTTTAAAATTCTATTTTCGAAAATAAAAATTTTAAATTTAATATTAATGTTTTCATGAAATTTATTTTTTATTCAAATCTAACCGTTTGAAATTATATAATTTTTCTAAAAGTTCGCTTTTTTATTTTCGAAAAAAAAATATAAATTTCGAAATCAAATTTTAAAAACATGTTTTTTTTACTTAAAATAATTTATTTGGTTTTTGGGCTATTTTTTGAAAAGTTTCCTTTTTTATTTTCACAAAAAAATCTAAATTTCGAAATTAAATTTTAAGAATATTTTTTTCTTTTAACTTAAGGTAGTTTATTTGGTTATTGGCATTTTGTGCTATTATTCTAAAAATTTTGTTTTTTTTTATTTTCGAAAAAAGAAGCGAAATTTCAAAATTTAATTTTGTGAATATATTCTTTTTATTAAGCAAATTTATTTGGTTTTTGGCACTTTGTGCCATTTTTCTTAAAAATGTTATTTTTTTTCTAGTTTCGAAAAAAGGATCGAAATTTCAATTTAATTTTGTGAATATATTTTTTTAAATTAAAATAATTTATTTGGTGCTTAATTTGTGATAAAATCGTTTTATAACACAAAATTTTTTTCTTCGCTCACAAAAACAACTTCAGTATGCTTAATTAAATATTTATTTATTTTTTTTTAATTTTATCTCCTTTTATGAAATTCGCTGTACTTATTTTTCGCTTACAAAATGTTAAAAAAGAAAAAAGAAAATATTGAACATTTATTTCATTTTATTTTTCCTTTCATTCGCACCACACAGCCATAGACAGCAATGCACCTTGCGAGCAGTGCACATCAACCGCCGAAAACTGGATATGTCTGAGCTGTTACAAAGTACTCTGCGGTCGTTACGTCATGGAACATATGCTCTTCCATAGCATAGAGGAATCGCATCCGTTGGCGCTTAGCTTCAGCGATTTGTCCGTTTGGTGTTATCCATGTGAGGCGTATATAGATAACAGTAAATTGCATGTATATAAAAATCGACTACATCGTCATAAATTCGGCGAAGACATGGTGTGGTCATACCCGGATCGGATTCACGGCGATGACAGCGATCACGATGACTGCGATGCCGACGATGCGCATGTGTTTAGCATACAACTTGAGCCGACCAACTGACAATATCTGTTATTACTGCTGACGACAGTACAAAATTATTTGTGTACATCATTTCCACCGCTTAGACATGTTTTCCATTTTTTCGCCCAGTACCTTTGGCCGTTGATTTATCGCCTCTATATTAAATTGTTGTATTACTTTATATCGAGTTGATGATTTATTTATTAGTACTATATACAATACTTACACATATATATGTGTATGTAAATCTAGTTACAATATGTATACTAAATTCATTGCTGACTTGCAACGTCGTCTATATATTTCTATTAGAAACACAATATTTTCTCACACAGACTAACCAAAGACTTGAAAGCAAAAACAAAGAAATTAAAAATGTACATTAAATCACTTATACCGCGTGTCTGGTCCACATAAAATATACATGTCAATCGGCTTGCAATTTTATATTGAAAATTGTTCTTCAACTTAATGCAAAATACCGAGTTTGCTCGCTGGCCGATTTTATTGTTAATCAACGTGAATATATTACTTTTTTTTTTTTGGAAGCTATAGCTGCTGTTAAGAGATTGTAAGAAAACTCGATGATGATGATTTAATTTTTATTTTAATAACATAATTATAAACTAATATATTTATACAAACAGATTTGTTCGAGGGAAATTATTAAGTTACATATACATGAATGAGAATATGTGTAGCTTAACTTTAGAAGCAATTAAAATTATGACTGTTTTTACAGAAAGTAAAAAAAAGCAATTATTGTAAAAAAATTAACAGAATTAAAATATTTAATAAAATGACAAAGAAAACTTGTTTTTAGTTTGAAACAACTGGTTGCACAGAAACTAAGGTGTGATCCATTTCGAAGTTCCTATGCTTTTGAAGAAAAAACTCAGAAACTTCAAATTTAATGTTTAATGCTTATTATCATTCGAAAGAATAAGCCAAAGCCAAAGCCAAAGAAAGCCAAAGTCAAAAAATAAATGCCAAAAAATTATTTTTTGACTTTGGCTACGCCTCAGATGGTCCATTCGATGACTTGTTCGAGCATTTCGACTGGTAACTGCTGAATAACACGCGTAATGTTATGTTCCGAGACCTGAATCGAAGCGGGATTCGCCGCATAGAGATTGGGAATGTCAGGCTCATTACACAGGAGAAGCGAGTAAGGTCGGAGAGATAGCCGCTTGTATGGCAATTAATTGCTACGCCAAATTTTGTCAATTAAAAGTTTTCATGAAAGGATTTGATTTTGATCGAACAGTTTGAGTGACAGCTATAAACCAGACAGCAATGATAAATTTCCAAGGTGTTTCTTTTACTGCTTTTAGGAAAATCGTGTTAAGAATAGGTGAAGATAGTTGGTAAAATATTTTAAAAAGCGCCTTTCCATGATAGCTGGGTATACATCATCTGAAACCACTCAATCTAAGACTCAGTTAAATAACTAAAAATAAAAAAACATATTTTTAGCGAAAATAACGACCAATCTTAACCTAAGTTACAAATAACAATCTAAAATATATCGACTTAACTCCGCTCAGCTGTATTGAGAAACTGCTTCGCAATAACTCGTATAAACAACTTATTTGACTTCAAAAATTATTTTTGTTCTACTATAAAATAACAACACCGTTATTTTGACTAACAACTGTTTTATTTAAAAATATTATTTATTTTTATTATTTTTCTGTTTTTTACTCAGTGGTGGTCCTTTTTGTTTCGATTGATTTTTCTTTGTTTGTGATTGTGCTTTCTTATCAACATTTCCCTTTCGTTTTCTTGTTTTTTCTTGCACTTGACTGCTACTCGGTTCAGATGAATCTGTGCCATCGTCACCGCTTTCTTGCTCCGGTTGGTCTTGCGCATCTTCCTCATATTCAATTGTAACCACACCACGTTCCGGCGGCTTCAAAGTTTTTTTTGGTACAATATTCACTTGTTGCTTGTCTTCTTTTGTATCGTTATGCTTTAAAACAAAAGCACCACCGAATTGTGTTAGGTCTAAAATGCCAAGACAGGTCGGACGACAACCAATGTTGGTTGTGCACATTAGTTCCAAATTTTTCTTGTTTATATTTACTTGCCAAGCTTTCATTTCGCCGGAACTGAAAAAATATGCAAATCAAGTTTTAATTTTCTTTAAGCGCTCTTTATTTTATTTTATTTTTTTTTTTTTGTTCACAAACCTCGATATTGTTATTAATGTGTCTTTATGCAAAGCCATAACTTTCACTCGTGTGTCGTGTGCTTCTGTAAAATGTTGCTATCAATTTAAATGAGATATGTGTTAATATAAAACTAACTTCACACATTGATTTATTAATGCATTACCTTTTCATCTTCTTCCCCTTCTTCTTCTGTCACTTCAAGCCACAATATTTTACCACTTTCCAAGCCAACCAAACATAATTCATCAGCCACCCAGCAAACACATATAGGCTTTTCTTTTGTCTTTCGACTCACCAAGACATCTGCTGATTTGATAGACCAAATCTCTGCAGCACGAAAACCACATAAGGTGAAATAATCACCAGTTGGCGACCACGTAAGACAATCTAGTTGCGTGCCCAACGTACTGCGACTCTTTAAATTAGTTCGGTACGCTACACGTCCCTTTATCAGATTCCATGTGCATAATACACGATCTGCACCGAGTGACAGTGCTAGCTTGCCACTCGGATGACAACTGATTTGATTGACTGCTAAACCCTTGTGTGCCTTCCAATTACCCTCTGTGGCCCAAGTGTTTTGACGTGTTGCAATCATACGTCCATCGTCGCCGCCCGATAGCAAATGTGAGTTGTCCGGTGTAAAGGCCAATGCGTTGATGGTACCCTCATGCGACAAAATAATCTGCGAGGTTTAACACATGTGAACAATAAATTACCCTGCTGCTTACACTTAAGACTTACATTTGTTTGTTTTCTCGAACGCATGTCATACAAAAAGATACGATCATCTGTGGCGCCAGTAGCCACGAAGTTTCCATGCACTGCTAGACATTTTAGTGGACCCGCATGCGATTTATCCGCAAAGGATTGCACAAAACTTGCATTTTCATTTATTACGAGTTTATAACCGAGGAGGAATTCCTCATAAGTTCCAATAATTACTTCCATAGCCCGCAATGTTTATGTTTTAATGTTTTCTACAGACCGGTTGACAATTGTTCAGCACGTGGGGAATAAAATGAGAAACGAAACATTCTGAAGCAGAGACAAGTGTTTCGATATTTACAGAAGATATATTGAAATCGATGAATGAATGAAGATATATTCAATCTATTAAGCGGACAACTGTATTAACTGGACAGAAAAATTAAACCTCACAAAAAAAAAAAACGTTTTTACCTTTATTCGTAAATAAAGTTTTCACTGTATTGAATAGTTTATTATATGAATAATAGTATAAAAAGTATACCACAGCAACCCGTGGCCGATTCCCTAGTACTTATATATTTTTTAGATTTTAGATGTTTAAACAATTGGGCGCACTATTATGAGTTCAGCCAAGCATCTAAACAAACCTCTTAGTAAGAAAGTGGACCTGCTTTATCAGTCTAAATCTTTCCATCAGTTTTTTCTCGAAAGCAAAAGGTGGTGGGGTAGACGGATATTGACCACCATGTTTCCTTTTGCATATACCCGCCAATTTTTGATGAGACAGAGAAGTCATTTCTTGAGATTCAAAAATCATCAAATTTTGTATGCAATGTGTCATTATTTAGTCGTAAAACATGACATCTTGCCAAGTAAGACCATGTACAACATAGTACTTTCTCATTTGATTTTTCCAACACATAAGATTTCATCATCCCCTAAGTGTCCACTTTCAAAGCAACCAACGCCCTTGGTTCTGTCTCTCAGAAATATTTAGCACATATAGCTTCCACGGAAGGTAGTTTCAAACTAATGGACTACAATTCAGTCTTCAGGCTGAAATTGACTGGTGACTGTTAAGAATATGTTTTACTCGTTATTTTTGACTCGACATATTGCACGGTGTAAACAAACACTCAACATTAATGACGTAACAGTATGCGAGAGTTTCCCCCAGCAGGCAGCGGGTAGAATAAAGAATGCCTGTCGTAAGAGGCATAGTCTTTGTCAGAAATAGCGTTATAATACTCGGCTTGAACTGATATTATAGACTTTGAATGAGATACCTGTTAATCAACAGACATTTGAACGTCAAGCGACAAATGTCACCAGTCATTGAGTTTGATAGGTGCTAAACTGGTACTACAAAAAGCTACAAGATCTGACCGGAGACTTAAACCTGATACCACGGAGAGTAATTAGTCTTTGGAGGTCACTTCTATATGCTCTTTGGATTTGGCCCTTTGGGTAGATTCGTTTTGGAAGGCAGAATTTAAAATTAAAATTTAATTCAGTGCGGAGTCGCGACACGGCCGGGTGGCGGACCCACAGCACAGCAGAGGTTTTAGTTCGGCCTCGAACCCGACCAAGGTGGAAGAGGTGTCCCACGCACTCGACCAATTGGAACCAAAAAATATATGCAAAAAACATTTATTATTCGGGGCGCTGATCAACGCATGTTCTTTAAAAAAACACCGTGAGGTTAATTCGACTTCGGCAGGTACTCACGTAACAACACAATGACTTAAAGAGTGTTAGTGAAATTTGAGAGTTTCTTTCTGGTGATTGATGGTGAATATACATTATTGCCTGGAACGAACTCAACTCTGATAATTTTAACGATTTCTTTAGGATAGCGACGAATTGAACTTCCTTAAATTATTATTATTTTGATTTTGAAGGTCTTTTGAATAATTTGCAATTAAAAATTACCATAAATGTCGTTAAATTATAATTTAATTCAGTTCTTTATATGCTTTCACTGTTTTTGTGTCTCAATGCTATAAGCACTTATCTAACCTACATATTTAACAGCAGGTGGCGGATAGGCATTGCGGAAATCGGGTTCCGCATGTAACTAGAGGCCTTTTACAAGCCGATAAGGGCATGAAATTGCTTTAGCTTCAAATAAAGTATTTAAAAATACAAAAGTTTCGATTACTCAAACTTAATTTCTTCAGTTCAATTTCAACTACCAACGGCTGCGTAACGAAAAAATAATGAAACTGCATTTTTTAATAACAACTTTGGGTAAGGAATAAATTTAATATTATAGGACAAATAAAGTTAAAACAAATGAAATGCTATAAAAATATTAAACATAAAATAATATTATTTTAAAATTATTTGATTATATCCCCACAAGTACTAGCCATCTGCCACGCCGAAGTTGCGCCTGACGAGGAGGATTACGGCCGTACATGGATGTGGATGCCTGATGGTGATGGCAAACCGCATGTTGCCTATCTAACCGAGCCACCTGTGGATAGTCAGCAAGACGATGTGCCGGATTTCGTGCATGTGGAGCTTTTTGATAGGTAATGTTGCATTTCACCATTTTTTTTTTTTCGTATTCTTGATTTGGAATAAATATACTCATTTATAGGACAAATACCGCGAGTCCAACAACAATACAAATATCTGTTGCCAATAAAACTACCAGTGAAGTTCGGCATAGTAGACAGAAGCGCGATACTTGGGAAGAGATGGCCGGTAAATTCAACGCCGATTTGGATACGAAGATTTTGGTACACGGTTGGAAGTCGAGTACGACCAGTGACTCAATACAGTCTATACGCGGTGCATACACTTTGCGTGGGAATTTGAATATTTTCGGTAAGTTTCAATGTGAGAACCTTAAACAATATGGTAGCCTCTGCGGCTGAATCAGTTTTTTGATACCGAGGTCATCAATAACTCGGAACTGTACACACTAATATTGGTCGAAGCATAAAAAATTAAGGACCCAATCCAAATAGACCAGTCCAATTCTTTCGACAGAATCCAACAGACTTTAAGACTTATCATAGAGTTAGGGCAAAGGAAAAAAAATTAGGGTCCCAGATGGACTACAAGTCCAAATAGACCAATCCAATTGTTTCGACATAAATCAACAGAGTTCAAGATTTGTCGCAGGGAGGTATCTTTAGGTAAAAAAATAAAAAACTAGGGTCCCGGACGGATAATCAGTCCAATTACTTCCACAGAAATCAACAGAGTTCAAGACTTATCGTCGGGAGGTATCTTTAGGTCAAAGAATAAGAAATGTCCATTTTCTTAATAATTAAAGCACTCCTGCTTAGTTGGTTTATTCTTTTAGGAATGGAATACGCACTAAGTCCAGATGAAGGGACGGATACTTTGTAGTTATGGAAGTCACTATTCTTCCAACTATCTTTTAAAAAATAATCTTATTAGGAAATAAAAAAATTGTAGAGTGGTAACAAACTGCAGTTTATTTGATTTATACAAGATTTTTCATGGCAATATTTAGAAATAATAGATTTTTAATAATCCTAATTTTTGGGTTTTTTCTTAGCAATCAACTGGCGCGATCAAGCGGATAATATTTACTATCTGAAACCCGCACGTTACACCGTGCAAGTCGGCCGAGCTGTTGCTAAGCTTATTGATCTACTTGTTGAGGAAAAGGATGCTGACTCCAAGCGTATACATCTAATCGGTCATAGCTTAGGGGCGCATATAATGGGCTACGCAGGTTCCTACACCAAATATCGTGTTGGCAGAATCACAGGTGGTGGCATTGATCCGAGACAATTTCCCAATAATACTTCACAGACTTTATTTAATTGCAATAACAATCTAGGTCTCGATCCTGCCAGACCGGCTTTTGAGAACTGCAGCGGACCGGAGCATCATTTAGATCCATCAGATGCAGATTTCGTTGATGTCATACATAGTTGTGGTGGCGTTTTGGGCTTTCGTGATCCAATTGGTTATGTGGATTTTTATCCGAATGGCGGCGGCGCACCGCAACCGGGCTGCACAGAGATTTCACAAATATTTAGTGTGTACTAAACAGTTTTCCTTTATTTAACATTATTTTGAGCTATATATTTTTTCTCTTTCTCTCTCCCTCAGCTGGCTGTAGTCACGGTCGTTCCTATGAGTACTTTGCGGAATCCATACATAGTGAGAAAGGTTTCTATGCTGCACCTTGTTCATCGTTGAAAGAGTTAATCGGTCGTAATTGCACGGGTACCAAGATATTAATGGGTGATCCGGTGCCGTTGAGTGCGCGTGGCATTTACTATTTGAAGACTGGTAGTAAACCAGGCTTCGCTTTGGGTTTGGACTGACGCCAATATATTTTGGAGCAGATCCGTAATTATCTTCTCTGAAAGCAGTGTTCATGTATAGGGTAGAGCGAGTTATATCTACATATATGTCTACAAATATATATAGTAAATAAAAGTCTCAAGTATCTTAGACAAATTAACTATTTGAGTTCAGAGCCTTCGAAACCTTTGGTATGCAATTTTTTTCAGAAGTCGTTAAAATACAGTCCAAATTCGTCATATGAGTCGGTGCCGCAATTTATTTACCAAGTTTGCTGAAAAGTGTGCATCGAATTTATAAGTCATTAGAATTTAATGCATGTGCGGTATTTTATATGTGCTTAGAGCTAACCTTTAAAAGGCACGATTCATATAGTACGTCCGCTACACGGTACGTGAGATATGGATATTCTTTTGAAAAAGAATGAAAAATTAATTAAATCAGCATCATCAGTTGATGAATAATTTTTATAAATCCATGACTTAGAGAGAAACAGCAACTAAAAGTTGTTATATAAGTGTATATATTCTATACGAAGTTTGTTCACGAGGTATCGCGAATTTCGTAATTTTAAGAAAGTGTTATCTTGAAAAGGGAAAAAATCGCCAGCGGCTAAGAAGAAACTTTGTTGGGACATTTGAAAGACGGAATTGTGGAAAATCAAACTTTTTTGAAGGTAGAAGAGCTTAGAATATTCTCTAGTACTAGTTCCTGGCGACTTTTTGAGATTCTCAAACCTTGAAGAAATGGTAGAAGCTATAGAATATAGCAACAATGAAGAGATAATCGCGTGTACTGGAACCTATTTCTTATAAGTGGAGTGGGGCATAACTTTTAAAGACTGGGTTGTCATAATGACCCAACTTTGATTTCGACCTTCAATTGTTCTAATACATATAGTATGAAGTCATGAAGTTTGTAACACCCAGCACGGAACGTCGAGAACCCTGACAGCTGAATCGATTTAGTCATGTCCGTCTGTTCTATTGGCTGTAAATATATGTACGAACTAGTCCCTCAGTTTTGAGATATCAACTTGAAATTTAGCACACGTCCTTTTCTCTCCAAGACGCTGCTCATTTGTTGGACCACTTTAACACATACGTAGCTGTTATCCAAACTGAACGATCGGTATTAAGTGCTTGCATGGAAAACTTGCAAACGACGAGAACTTCAAAGCGAGAACGCGATTGTATTTGTGAAGGGTATCAAAGCTTCAGTTGTTGTTTTGACTTTTCAAATATTCGCATATGAGTCAAGCTAACGCTCTCCTGTGCTGATGCAGATGTGTTATGGCTGAGCAGTCGAACTAAAAAATTTCCAGCCTTTCTCAGAGAACTTTCCTCACTTGCGTGAACTTCTACACATGACGCCATCCTCCGGTACAAAGATACACTGTTTTCAATAAAAACTGTCTCTGAATATTAATTATAAATCTGAAATATTAACTAATATTTGTGGTAAAAAGTCAACTATAAGCACTAGGGTCTACATATTCGGTATCTGGTAGCTTGAACAGTTTTTGTAGGGTTTGGACAATTTTTGGCCATAAGGTGGCTTGCTCTAATGGTATTATTCGTTTGAAGTTTTTTCCTCTTGTTATTCATTGCTTTTTGATCCGTATACTCGAAAGAAAATAATCAAATGTCATTTAAAATTATGTTTTAGGAAGAGGGCGTGGTAACAATCCGATTTCGGATTTTTAGTCTTTTAGGAGATATTTACATTCAACTTATTACTTTTTAAAAATTTTTACTCACAAATCCCCCTCGCCACTGCGATCCCCTGTACCAAATTACTCTTATACGAGTATATCTTAGTTTAGTGCTTAGTTATGGCACTTTATACGTTTTGATTAATGGCGTTTTGTGGGTGTGGCTGTGATTCCATTAGCTCATCTACTTGTAATTTTTTTTAAGGAATTCATCAGAAAGCACAGACAGGCAGGCACCGGGATTTCAACTTGTCAGTTATAAATATCTTTAAAAATCTATAGCTATCCCGTTTAGTCTTAAGTGATACGTACAATCGTTAGGTGAACAAAACTATAATACTCCGTAGCAACATTTTGTAAGACTATTAATATAACACTAAAATCTTAGAAAAAAAAAATTAAAAAGAAATTTTCTAAATTAAGGAATAATTAATAATGAATTCAATTAGAAGAAAAAGTAAACGCGATTGTATGAATTAATTTAAAAAAATTTAATTTGTTTGTATGAACTATTTTTTTCTACAGGGATTACAATATTGCAGCTTCATACATCTACTTATATACATACATATCTGGCATTTTTCATATTTCGATAACGAAAAAAATGTACGAAGCCAGAAAGCGGTAAAGGTGTCAAGCTTTATATACGACATACTCATGTATAGTACACCAGCTTATGTAGACACTCAGGATATGCATATTATGTTAACAGTGAAATGTTGCAAAACCTTTTAACAACATCGAAAATAAATTCATCATTCGAGATTTCTTTCATAGTGAATTGTGTATAAAAATTATAACCGCAGCTGCTTTCGAATATTCCTTTTCTTTTTCGCTTTTTTTGGGGAGCATAATGTGGCTACATATTTGGAGTGCGAACTTTTCCACCACTCTAAAGACGCTTTCGCATTCAGATAAAATCGATTTTTGGTGTGATACTTTTTTGACACTAAAATTGGAGTCAATGTTACTAATATTGATGAAGGCTACAAAGAGATCAATACTGTAACTTAATTAAGGCGTGATTCGATTTTTTAAAGAGAACTAAAACGACACAAATTGTTCCCTCAGCATAGTGCAAGAAACTAAATTCCGCTATAATCTGCTAATGGTATTAAGACCAAATCTTGCAGAAAGAGCTACTAATTTTTTTACATAGGACATATGATTATTCTCCATTAGCATATTTTTTAGGTAAACTGTTTTCATAGAGCAGACATGATGTTGTTTAACCAAAATTCTGTTCAAACACTAAAGTCATAAAATTAAAATATCTATAAAAAAAATTTAATTACCACAAAGAAACATCATTTTGAAAGAACTTTCGTTTCATGTGTGATGTCAAGCTGCAGACTATAAACGGTTTGGAGACTCTGGAAATAGCAAAATTTAAAAAAACATATATAATAATCTGTGTAAACGTAAAATTAGAAATTATATATAATATCTAGCATAAAAATTAGCCTATATTTTGAACGCAGATCTGTCTTTAGAATAAAATTTTCAGATTTTGAAAAGCAGAATTAACAAATATACATATACAAAGTAATTAACTCATACGCCTAAATGTAGGCAACGATTTGTAAACAAAACGTTAATTTTTTTTATATAAGAGCGGAATATCAAATTTAAAAGTAGCGAACTGAAGGGAATTTTGCCAAAAGTGTGATCTTTAGCTCAAACATATCTCTGGCCTACTCCCGTTTACGTTGCTCTCTTCCACCTACTGCTACACAAGTTTCAATTTCTAAACACAATAACTCTTTCATAAACAGCATTAAACATGTCAAATATTATAATGAAAATGTTATAATGAGAAATAAATCGTCCATGAAGCATGCTTTAAAGTCTAACCCCCCGCATTCTTTACTTGTTTGCCTTTTTCACCCAAAACCCATTCACCCATTTTAAAACAACTAACTTCGTAAAGTAAATTTAATATATTTTTAATATCATCTGAGCAAGAGTTTCGACTCACACACACACACCTTTTTGTGTATGGAATGGTGAGTCCGCACGGATCCACGATTCATTTTACTGACTTAAAAAGTTCCGCTCCATCAGATGCTATAGTTAAGATTAGCTAGTAAAGAAGATAGTAAAATAATTTTTTTTTTTAATATTTAATTGAATTAATTATCATTATTTTTTTTAATATATGATATATATTTATATATCAAATATAGTTACATAATTTATTTTTTCGTTAATACTTTCTTTGGCATTATTTGTATATAATATTAAAATAAGTTGAAACGGAACAACTTCTGTGGTACTGCTCCCTTTAATGTCGAGGCTCACTGTGTGCCTTACGTCTCTGCCTGCGGGCTTCGTCGTAATAAACTGGCATCATCGTATAATATCCAACGCTTTGGAATTCCTCTGTCTCATGTTTTGATTGATCCTTAGCCCGGTGGCGCTTATTATTCTTACAACGTTTCTTCTGTTCACTTTTGTTGAGACGATGGTTCGCTCCCCCACATGAGTGTCCTCTTGAAGGTTCACGTGAGTGTTCACGAGAGAGCGAACGATCACGTCCACGTCGATTGCATCCTTCGTCCATAGTGACGTTTTGAAGGTTTGCCCACTTCATCCTCTGTTTACTCCACCAACTACTTCGGGTCTAGTATGTGATCGCAAGTTTCGGTGGTGTTCCAGGTGACAACCATGCAGAATAGAGGGAGCTGTTTGGAGGATGGTGCCACGAAAAAACTGCGCCAGTTGACGCAACTCTTGATCACGTGTCTTGGAATGACCACGTGAGTATCCGCGAGAGTATCCACGAGAATGACCGCGTGAGTGACTACGAGATCTTCCGCGAGAATATGAACGTGAGCGCGAACGATCACGTCCATGACGTGTTTACGTGTTACGTACATGGTGACGCTTGGTCGGTTTGCCCACTTCGTTCGTCAAATCGATAACAGTTTCGCCATCACTGTCGTTAGAACTTGAGCTCGAACTAGAACTCGAGCTGGAGCCAGAGCTAGAACTAGAGCTACTATTATCACTATCCTTAGGCTAATTGTGATTCATCTTCTGCTTTTCGCTCGAAACCTCCAATCGTTTAATTGCTTCGTTTAGCATTTTTTTGTGCTTTGTATGCTTTCTTTGCCGCTTTTAGCAATAATTTTTGATCTGCCCCCAGATCAGTCATTTTGGCTTCCATGTCCCCCTAGCTGAGTGATATTTTTGGGAAAATAATATTCTGATTATAAAGTTTTTCCTCGCCTTTATTACCGTTGTATGTATTTTCTTCACTAATTCTTCCCTTTAACTGTGTCTGCTGCTCTCGTTGTCGGCTTCATTGGTGATGTGCTACTGATTGTTTTTCTACCGGCCACTTTTATACATAAACGAAACGTTAGAAAAACGTTCTAACTCACCTGGTCAACGTTGATCGATGCAGCGAGCACCGGCAAGCGCCAGTATGACTCATTCGCAAATGTTTGAAAGGGTTTGCGGATTTTATTGTTTGTGATAACAAAAAATTTCTGGGATTGGTAGATATTTGCAAGGCATTTTGGAAATATGACATAAGTTGAAATGCATGAAAGTTTATAAGTATATAAAATATATATAAAATATAATTTAATTATGTATACTTGCAGTTACAATTTTTTTATAATGCAGTACCTTCTTTATTGAATATATAGTATCTTATTGGAAATTCACTTTTTTTAAAGAAATACATTTTTTATTGGAATTTACTTTTGGAAATGTATTCCATGAGATTTCAATCAAGTTCAATCGACCAAATTCGCTCAGGACGCATATTTTTGGTTTCACCTCTGATAGTGTGAAAATGGGTGAAATCGGATAAAAACCATGCTCGCGCAATCTCTTTAGGAAAAAACTGTTTTTATTCAATCTAATTACATAAATAAATTAAATTTATTTAAATGATTTCGTATAATTGTGTTTAGAGTAATTTAGAAATTTTCTTTAAAATTTTAAAAAAAATTTTTTTTTTAATTTTTTAAAATTTTTTTATACTTTTGTTCACTTAGTTCACCATATCAGTTCAAACTAAGCGGGTAGATATTGGGTTGTATATACATATATATAGCGTGTTCCGTGGAAAAAAGTACGAGTTCGTAGATGGGGGTAATCAGACTACTGCCCACCCACAAAATGCCATTAACCGAAAACCTAAAAAGTGAAATAACTAAGCACTTAATTAAGATATCTATATCGTGTGATATTCTTAGTTAACATACCATACATAACACAATTTTAAATTCCATTCGATTCTTTCACCTTCCACAAATCAAGAAGTAATTATTATAACGGTATAAAATTTGGCACTAATATTCCTTTAAAGTATGCCTCCTTATGACCAAAGAATGTTCAAATCCAATCAAAACTGTTCAAGAGCATAGGTACTAAATATGTGAACCACAGTATCTATAGTTGACATTTTACCGAAAATAGCAGAATTCTTTCTTGACAATAGTAATTCTGTATATCAAAAATGAGTTGATTGGGGCCAATACTTCTCTGTGCCCCACATACCTATTAAAAATATTTTCGAACGTCCAGGTGAGTTTATGCTGGATACATCGGCTAATATTTGAGTTATCTGAATGAAAATTACAAAACATGTTTTATTCATAATAGTTTATCTTTGTTCCTAAAATAGATATAATTCGGCGAAAACTTGACCTTGCTTCCATCTGACCTATACCAGGATTTTCGAATGTACGGCGTATTTTGCTCCATATGGTTGGTGATTGTATGTGAGGTACCTTAATGAAACCCTGGGAGTATTTAGATAAAGTCGGGTCGATAATACTCCAACTACCATATTCTACGTACAATGATTTTCGTTTAACTAACAAACCTTATGCCGGCTGCGGATGCTTAAAGAATTTTTGATTTATGTACAAACGGTGCATCAAGCCTATTGTAAAGCAGAGCTATCTTTCCGTCTCAAATTTTAGAACCACTACTCGGTCGGATGAACAGACTAATGAATCAAAAAGCTAAACCCGAATTTTTTCTAAAAAAAATGTACTTTACTTTAGAACGAAGTAAATCTATCAGTCAGTCAGGTACATAACGCAATATATTCTACATTTAAACCAGGAATAATAAATCCTTAGGTGAAATTATTAAAATTGCGCAATTATATACATATAGTATGTATGGATGTATGTCTGATACACTTATGTACGTCCATGTTTTTCAATTTAAGCTACGCATTACAAGTTAATTACAAGTATCTGCCCTCCACCGCCAAATATTGTTATCAGTATTGGAGATACAATAACAACTAGACGCCACAGTGAATTATCGCAAACGTTTTCAAACGTTGGCGCATGAGTCATTTGGCGCTCACTGCTGCTCTCTGCATCGGTCAACGTTGAGGAGACGAGCTAAAACGTTTTTCCAACGTTTTGTTAGTGTATAAAAGCGGCCGACAGCCAAGCAATCAGCAGCAGTTCAGCAACGAAGCCAACGACGACGAAAGCAGTAAACAAAGTTAAAGTGAAAAGTGAAGTGTAAATAAAGCAAGTACAACAGTAAAAAAGGTGAGGAAATATTTAAAAATCAGTCTTCTATTTTCCCAAAAATATCACTCAGCGAGGAGAACATGGAAGCTGTAATGACAGAACCGGAGCAAGCTTGCTGCAGTCACCAACCAACAGCGATTAAAGCAAAGAAAAATGCCAAAGATCAAAAATTATTGCAAAAAGCGGTAAAGAAAGCATACAAAGCACAGAAATTGCTAAACGAAGCCATCAGGCGATTGGAGGCGTCAAGCGAAAAGCAGAAGAAGCATAAGCAGCCGAAACATATTGAAAATAGTAGCTCTAGTACAAGTTCTGGTACTAGCTCTAGCTCCAGCTCGAGTTCTAGTTCGAGCTCAAGTTCTAGCGACAGTGATGGCGAAACTTTTATCGATTTGACGAACGAAGTGGGCAAACCTGCCAAGCGTCACCATGGACGTAAACATCATCATGGACGACGTAATCGACGTGGACGTGATCGTTCGCGGTCACGTTCGCATTCCCGCGGACGCTCCCGTGGTCATTCACGTGGATGTTCTCGCGGACACTCACGTGGCCCTTCAAGGGGACACTCACGTGGTCATTTCAAGACACGTGATCAAGAGTTGCGTCAACTGGCGCAGTTTTTTCGTGGCGCCAGCCTCCAAACAACTCCCCCCATTCTAGATGGTCATCAGCGGCGACCACACCTGCGATCACATACTAGAACCGAAGTAGCTGGTAGAGGAAACAGACGATCTCGCTCTAATTCACAAGAACGTCACAATAAAGACGAACAGAAGAAAAAGCATAAATATAAGAAGCGACACAGCGCGAAGCATCAGCCAAGACATGGTGGTGCTGGAAGCGAAATGGATGCGAATATAAGAAACGCGGGCTCTAATTATCCATATTATATGTGTTCACATCCGCGAGATCGTTCTTATTTTCCTGGTATGCCAGCAATAATGGATCAGCGCGGCATGATGATACCAATTTATTATGACGAAGCGCGCAACCACAGACGGAGAGCACATAGTGAGCCTCGACGTTAAAGGAAGCAGTGGTGGGGGAGTTGTGAAGATTTGACTTCTATATTTTATACGCTCACATATTTTCTGTATATGTAATCACCTACATAAATATTATGAAACGACTTCAGAAAACGAACAAATAATGCAAACTCAAAAGTAATCAGAGAAAATGTTTGTATTTTTTTGAATATCTCTTTAAAAAAAAAAAATTAAATAAACAAAAAATAAAAAAATAAAAAA